CCCAGGACCTTGATGCGGGATAAAGAGAGGATCCAAATCAGATTCACCTAACTTGCATTCAGTTCATTCTGATTTGCATCCAAGTCCCAGGAAGGACTCAGATTGGATTCAGCTCATTCATATCCTTCCTGGGAACTTGACACAGGATGAGAAGTGAATTTGAAGGAGCTGAGTTCAAATGAACTGAATCCGATTTGCATCCTTTGTGGGATGTTGATGTGGGACAAGGTGTGGATCTGGTTCGATTCAGTTCATTCGGATTTACTCTGTTCCATATCAAAGCACCAGGAAGGAACTGAATTGGATTCATTTAATTTGCATTCAGTTCTTGAAGCACAGCAGGGAGTTAGTAAGCACACTGGTTGAAAAGCACTGCTATCCAGCACTGGAAATAAACTGGAAAAAACAAGGACAAGAAGGCACATGGAGGCACTTTCCTAGACATGATGTCTCATCCTAGACATGATGAGACTGAAGGCAGAGGCTGTCTCATCTCTTACTTCCTTTTGAGAAAAGAGAACTTTGAACTTGTATACATCAAGAAGAGAAAACAGGAAAGAAAAAAAGAACCAATCTGGATGCTCTGGGAGTCAACCTCAGAAGAGTAGCAGCTGATTGGATTTATCACAGGTCTCCATTGAGAAAGGGGATCAAAAGCCCTTGAGCTAAGAGACAAAGAGAGAGAGAGAAAAAGACTTAGTGAGAGAAGGAGGGGGACATCCAGCTAAGTTGCACAAAGAATCAAAGAAGCTGACCATCACACGGGCATATGAAAGAGTAGACACTGCCTGCTGAGCCATTCCCTAGCCAGAGAAGGAACCATAGCATATTGATGAAAAGACTTTCAACCCACCCCAGGTACCAAGGGCCAGGTGATACCCCAGGTGGAAAAGAGAAATTCAAGTGATAGCGACTATCAGAAGAGTGTACAGCTGAAGAAAGCCAACTAAATCATTAGGAGGCTTTCCCTGCTGCAGTCATTAGATGTTGTGAAAATTATCCTACAGCTATTATTGTATTATTTAACTATCCACCCCTCCTCCCTCAAATAAAAATATCCCTGTACGCTCTCTGTTTAGCTAAATTATATTTTCTGAAGGGGTTCATGTAGTCATGAAGAAATGATGAATCCAACATCTAACTTTGGTAGCTCATGTTGAGTTGTTTGGTCACCATGACTGCAGAAGACGTCCATTGCAAAGAGATGAATTAATTCATTGATTACATCATGGGACATGTATTTTTTCTCAGAAAGCCAGCGGCTAAGATCAGGACAATCCTGAGCACGAAGTTGCATGAGCTAATATAGATTGCCACTTTCGGAATCATGACCCTCTATTAGCAGTCCTTGTCCCATTAGGAAACAAAGGGATGTTAGCTGTTTAATTAGTATTTCTTGGTTACATTTTGTTGAGCCTTAAGTTGCGAGTCAAGCTCAGTAGCAATGCTTGGTTGATGTGACATATATGTTTGCATTTGAGCCGTGGCTTCCCACTAACATTGTGTTTTTTCATGTTCTTGGAAGGATTTGACAGCATGTTAACAATTCTGAAAACCACTAACAGCAAATGCACCCTGGGCTTTTTTGGTCAGGTTTAGGCCTTTGACTGTACAGAAACAGCACTGTGTGCAGAACAGTTTGCCCTGTGTTTCGCACAAAGTTACCCAATTAAAGTATTTGAACCAATTCAATTGAACTGATCACGTTTGCTATGATGAATCAGTTCCCTGTACCTTTTTAGTGCCCTCCAGCACTGTGGGGGTCATCTGATTGACAGGGCCTGGCAAAATCCATGCAGCATTCACTGGAGCAGTAAGTGGCAGCAGAGCAAACTGAGGAGGTAGATGCAACAGGTTCTGTTTTCTCAACCTCATTATTGAGGCCTGTCTTTTTCTTAGTCGATTCTGGAAGTGGTGCCAGTGGTGCTTGTGTTGTATCTTCATTTCTTTTGTTTTGTTTGCTTTTGAAAAAGTCTGTAATGGGTTTGTTTCATTTCTTTCTTTTTTTTCCCTGATGTCCTGAATGCGTTTTTGGGACGTTAGCTGGGACATATGTACAGGTAATTTACGTAATGACACATCAGTCACAAACAGAGCAGAAGTATAACTAACTATTTAGCTAGCTATGCAGCTAAAAAAATAGCTATACAGTTTTAACCGGAATGACAATTGTGCATTTGTGAGTTATATATATGAACGTGCTAAAATTTGGTCAGGCCATGGCCCTGGGGTGGCCCATCCCATTCCACAGCCTATGTTGCATGTGGCTAAATTAGAAGACACCACGTGTGAACCCACCCAGCTTATTAACAATCCAACTCACTTGCTATGACTGACTTGTCCTCAACATTGCCATTTCATGAAAGCATGTGTCATCTACGAGTGTTATCAGCAGTGGTTTTCTTCACTTCTAGATCAGGCCTAGTACTGTAGTGAAAATGTCTCATGATCTCACTACACAAAGGCTTCACAGCTGAAAACTGCAAATTGTTTCTTCTCCTCTCTCCCCCACCACTGCGGAGCCAGAAGTGGGGTGTCCTGTTAGGGGGAGAGAACAGTCCAAACAATGCTTGGTTCACGAAAAGGCTGATTCCTGTGGGAACACAGATTAGTTACTGCTTGCTTTGCACATAAACTTTGCAACCCTTGTTACTTGCCCGTTTTAGAACTACGCATGTACTAAAAACTTTGCAGGAAACTGTAGCCAATCACAGATTGCCACAATGGAGTCTTGTTCATGAGGGGTATAAAAATGTAACTTCGGGCGTGGCTAGGGGTCGACACGGCTTTGAGTATTGAACTCCCTTGTCGAACTTGTTTGCAAACAACAAACTCGAGATGGACCCGGCCTGAGTGTGTATGACTCTCTCCTTGAGGTGTATTGGAAAAGCCTCCAGGGGCACGAAACTAGCAATTTGTGCAACAGTACTACCCGCTCCTCTTACAAAACAACTTCATTTATTCTTGAAACCCCAATGAAAACTAGTTTTTTTGAGATCTGTCCTGTATCCAGTTCTTTATCCATAATTAATGGATAGTGATAACATTTTAATCAGAATATTTATTCACATAGCAAATTAAATGTTTTACAGAAGTCTATTATACTAATAGTTACTTTAGTCAGCCAAATGTGTAAGCTCACCCAACAATGGTATCAGGTCAATTTGAAAAGACATACTTTCCATAAAAAAGACATTGACCGGTACTGATATTGATATCTTTAAATCTTTATCAAGTGAAATAATGCATTGATTGGGCAGTGGTAATAAAACCAAAATATTTGTATTGAAGCTATTATGCACCTTTTGCCTCAGCCTGATTATTGGGAAAAAAAGAGTTAGGATCTCATGGTTTGGGCTCACTGTCAAAAGAAAGGTTTCATAAATCTGGCAAAAATGAGGGTGTACTAAGAGAAATGTCAGCTGTACAGTACCAAGGGGAATTCTAATTTGAAGATCCTGGGAAGCAGATAATGGGCAGTTTGCCCCACTGCAGTTTTGTATTTTCTGAGCATACCACTAACACTAAAGGAGTATTGAAGCTTAAACTGAGGTGAAGCATCTCTCTTTCAGGATGAAGAATATTGGCAAATAAAAAGGGAATTAAAAAGCACTGAGGAAAACATCTATAATTCCCAGTCACTTTTCACTTTGCAGGAGGGCAGCAATAAAGTAAGATAGAGCCAAGCCCGAGCTGGAAAGAGCATATTTGGAAAGATGAATGTCTATTTAAAAAAGCAATCTATCCATATATTTAGAGAGAGGCGTACTTAATCAGTGTGTATTTGCTACATCTGGGATGATGAAAATGTCATGGTATAAAGAGCACCTGCAGGAAGTATAGAGAAACCATTAAGAGTAAGATAGCACAGAAACGTGTATATTGACAATATCCTCAAAGTGATAGAATTATTATTATAATACTTGGCACATGTGCATAGAAAAAGTTTATAATATGTTCTTTTACTGCATTATACGATTTCGCTGTTTAAAATAGTTTACATCAGAGTGGTTCTCCTGTCATGAAGATCCCTTTGTAACTTTCTGAAATGATAACTATGTACTACTATATACAGCTACTTCAAAGCTTTCCAAGCTGTAGCAAAGTCCGTTTCCAAAGACTGGCTATTGCTGGCAAAAGTGAATTCCAAGTCAGGCTTGTGGGTGTCAGGAAGAAGCACACACATTGTATACATGGTAGCTGAGATGCAGGGCAGTACAGTGAAGTCTCTGCCAACAGTAACCTTCAGCAGCCACTCTCTGCCACCATGTGATGGCCTATTCCAGGGGTTGTCAACTGGGGGTACGCATCCTCCTGGGCACTGGCGAGGCGTAGGGGATGCACGCGCACCCCTTGAGCTTGGCGGTGCACCCCCTGCAAAAAGCGTCACCAACACTGCCAGCGGCACCTGCAGGTGGTCGCCGCTTGCCACCCCCCTCGCTGCCA